TCTTATTTTTTCTGTTGTCATTAAAAGTGAATACACTATGTTCTTTACTGTTGTTTGAAAAGTTTAAAGCATTTTTATTATAAGGTTCTAATTTTTTCTATACGTACTTTGTCTTTTAGTTGTTAAAGACATTTGGTTAAGAAGATTAGTGAAAAAAGATTTTATATTTTTTTATTTTCTTGTAATTATTAAATAATAAATTATTTTAAAAAATTAAAAATTTGAAAAATTAATATATATTAATAATTATTAATTTTAAAAATTTAAAAATACTATCATTAGATAGATCTTAATATGACAAATTTAATAAACTTTATTTCATCATTTTATAATCACTAGATATTAAAATATTATAATTTTTTTATAATATTTTATAGTCAATTTATACCTATGCTTTAAGGGATAATAGTCAATCATAGTATAAGGGTAAATTAGTAAATCCAATTAAAATTAGTATATAAGAAAATTTGTTAATTAATTAATTAAGAATTTTTAATTAATTTAGTATTTTTAGTTATATATATAAATAATATACAATTTCTATTTGTACAAATATATATATATTCAGGTTATATAATATGATTTGTATTAATATTAATTTTTGCTAAAATTAAGAAATTAACAAATTAGCTATGTGATGAATAAGGTATGATGAATAATAATTTTTTAAAAAATAAATAGTAAAAACTAAAGATAGGAAGGTGTAATATTAGTAACAAATATATTATCACATGACCTAAATATATACATCCTATATAAACTTAAAAAATTTTTTAATTAATAAAATTAAAAAAGAAAATATTTGTAAAAAAAAATAAATAATAAGTTAATTTAGTTATTAAATATTTATATATAATAATAAAATATAAATTAAAAATAAGATTTTAAGTAAAGTTATCTAAAAATTTAATAAATTATTATAAATTATATAATATTAAATAGAAAATTAATTAAAATAAAATTAAATTATCAGGTAAGTTTAAGTAATTTATTCAAATAATTTTTAAAGTTAATAAAAATTAAAAGAAATGAAAAGTTGTTTCTATTTAAACAATTAATTTTTATTAATAAGACTATTAGTTTTCAATTATAATATAATTTTTAAATTTTATTTAAATAAAAAAATTTAACTTTATGCATATATTTATAAATAAAAGAAAAATCTCTTAGTAACAATTAAAATTTAAATAAAAATTATATTAAAATCATAATAAAAAATATAAATAAAATCCTTTTAATATAACAAAAATTAAAATTATCAAAACTATATTAAAAATATAGAAAAGAGTATGATAAAATTATTTTGATGATATTTTAATAGGTATCTATAAAATTGATTAATTAAAAATTAGATTTTACAAATTATACAATATATATATATTTATTTTATTTTCTTATAAATAGTATCAGATACATAATAATATGATATATATTTTTGACTGCATATTTTACTAGTTTACCAGTAATACCTTTTCTATAAATATTTATATATCTTTAACATATTTTTTAATTGTAATTAATGAAATCAGTTTAAGTCCAAATTTGATCTGATTTAAATCTGAAAGTATTATTGAAAAAACGAATTTTCAGTTCTAAAAGAGATCTGAAAATGGTTCTTTTCAATGAAAGGAACCTTTTTAGCTTTAAAAGAGTTCTAAAAAGTCGTTTCTTTTTATTGAAAGGAACCTTTTCAGCTTTAAAAGAGTTCTGAAAAAGTCATTCCTTTTTATTAAAAAGAATCTTTTCAGCTCTAAAAGAGTTCTGAAAAGTCATTTCTTTTCATTGAAAGGAATCTTTTAGCTCTAAAAGAGTTCTGAAAAGTCGTTCCTTTTTATTGAAAGGAATATTTCAGCTCTAAAAGAGTTCTAAAAAGTTATTCCTTTTCATTGAAAGGAACCTTTCAGCTTTAAAAAAGTTCTAAAAAGTTGTTCCTTTTTATTGAAAGGAACTTTTTCGACTCTAAAAGAATCCCAAAAAGTCATTTCTTTTCATTAAAAGGAACTTTTTTGGCTTTAAAAAAGTTCTAAGAAGTTATTCTTTTTATTGAAAGGAAAGTTTCAACTCTAAAAGAATTCTGAAAAGTCGTTCTTTTTTATTGAAAGGAATCTTTTCAGCTTTAAAAGAGTTCTGAAAAATCATTCCTTTTCAATAAAAGGAACTTTCAGCTCTAAAAGAGATCTGAAAATTTATTCTTTTCAATTAAAGAAACTTTTCAACTCTAAAAATTCGTTTCTTTTCAATAAAGGAAACTTTTCAGTTCTAAAAAAGTTCTAAAAATTCATTTCTTTTCAATGAAAGGAAACAAATTTTTAGCTTAAAAAAGTCTGAAAATTCATCACTTTTCATTGAAAGAAACCTTTTTAGCTCTAAAAAAGTTCTGAAAAATCACTTTTTTTCATTGAAAGGAACCTTTTCAGCTCTAAAAAGTTCAAAAAAGTCATTCCTTTTTATTGAAAGGAATCTTTTCAGCTCTAAAAGAGTTTTAAAAAATCGTTCTTTTTCAATGAAAGGAACTTTTCAGCTTTAAAAGAGTTCTAAAATTTGTTTCTTTTTAATAAAAGGAACTTTTTAGCTTTAAAAATGTTCCGAAAATTTGTTTCTTTTCAATGAAAGAAACTTTTTAGTTCTAAAAGAAATCTGAAAATTCATTTCTTTTCAATGAAAGAAAACAAATTTTTGGCTCAAAAGAAGTCTGAAAATTTGTTCCTTTTCATTGAAAAGGAACTTTTCAGCTTTAAAAAAGTTGAATTCAGATCTGACAGATCAGATTTGAATTCAATCTGAATCTGATAGATTAGATCTTAATCTGACGGATTGATCTAAATCTGAATCTGAATTTGACGTGATTAGATCTAAATTCAAATCTAAATCTGACAGATCAGATCAAATCTGAATTTGAATCTGAATTAAATCTGAATTTGACAGATTGGATTTGGATTAATCCAAATCTGTACAGAATACTACTCTATACTATAAAACTCATTTTTTTTCTTTGACAATACAACCTTTAATGAGCATAAACTTTCTTAAGATATTCTTACAATTAACACTATCTTCATTTATAAAATACAAAGAAGAGAACATCTATATATTAAAGAGAATAAAAGCAAAATATAACAAAATGAGAAATATATAGAGCAAAAAAAATGAAAAACTGAAACAATAGTAAATTAAATATAATCAGTCAAAATATATTTAAATCATTTACAGAAAACAATTTTGAAGAGATGGTTTTAGTTGATAAAATATGCTTATAATACTATTATTAGATAGAATAAAAATCATATAAAATTTTAAATATTTAAAGAAATCTTAAATTATATATAGATTTAAATGAAGGAAAAATTAATAAAAAGAAAGACAAAAAATTATAGAAATCATATATATTGAAGAACATAAATTTTTTCGAAATGTTATATAATTAAAATTACATCTTAGAGGTTTACATGATAAAATACTTACAAATATGATTGATAAGAGTATTAATAAAACTTTGATAGCTAGAAAAATGTTATGCAAAAAATTTAGAAGCTGCTAAAAAATTTTTATTATTATTTAAATCTACAAAAGATTTATATCAAATAATAACTATTCATATATAAAATTTTTCAAGGAAGAAATAAAACCATTTTTATGTTAGTCATTTTCACAATTCTTTACTTTATCATCAAAATAAAATTCTTCCAATAAATTAAAAAATGAAAAATATGATTTATACACATTTTATTTTGAAATAAAGAGAAAATGTAAAAATTGATCATCATAAAAGATAAATTATGATTATAAATTTACATATATACAAATAGATATTTTATTGGTATATGAAATATAGAAATAGGTCTGTGAAATACAAGTGAAAGTTCATGCTATTTCAATTAACAAAGTTTGTATTTCATTTAAATAGTATTTCTCAACAAAAGATACAGGTAAAATAGAAAAAGATGATATAAGACGTATCTTCTATTTATATAAATATATAGATAATCTCATGTCAAAAAAAGATAAACTGGCATTTTTAATCTCAAAACAAAAGAAAAAAAAGCATTACATATTGATAATGCTATCTTTCATATGCGAAAAAAAATCAAATAATTATAGAATGAGATTCATTGAAAACAATCAAGTTCTTAACTGATGAATTTGATGTAATTATTATTCATCCTTTTGAGGTTTCAAATATGGTAAACAGAAAAATATGAAAAATAAGAAGAAAACTGTTAGAAAGATGCTTTGTTGGTCTCATTACAAGTTTCAACAACGTTTAATTTCAAAAGAGAAAGAGAAAGGAATCCATATGATTATTCAAAATAAAGCTTACACATCAAAGACATGTAGTTGGTGTGGAAATATTCAGAATATTAGAGGGTCAAAAACATATAAGTGCAAAAATTGCAATATAAAAATAGATAGAAATATTAATGGCGCCCAGGAATATTCCTTCAGCTTTGCTTGATAGAGCCTTTGATTCTACGGAAATGATAGCAATACTTAGTATTTCCTATTATTGATGTATTACAATCCATCCGAATGCAGTGTACCATTTAAATTCCTTAAATAAATTTATAAAATTTTCATAATATAAATTACATTAAAATTAAGTAATATATATTTATAAATACTTTATAAAGCTTTTTTTAAGAATATAAAGATGAATAATTTCAGTATTTATAAATATAATATTTATGTTAAAACAAAAAGTTATTAATGTAATGATTTATCTTAAAAACATTATTAATATGCTTAAATTTGACTTTAGTTTAGCAAGTAAACTTGTAAGAAGGAATGATTATTAATTAGTATTATAATAAGAATTTGATGTATAACGACGTAATTTAGAATGATTATTGATGCAAGTAATAAAGCGATATAACCGACAAAACGTGTTAAATCAATATCTAAAAGATATCTTTTAATGTATATTTTACGCCCTGAATTTACACGAAAATCTATCCTATTCTTATTTTAAAAGAATATTTGAATTTCTAATTACACTAATACTCTTATAAAGTATCATCTAAATATCTAAGGATATCAAAATTTACAAATCTAGAAATTTGTTTAATATAATTAAAACTAAGATTACATCTAAACGATTGCAGATCTTTACGATCTACTGGAGTTGTACGAGTAAAAACGCGAGAAGCAACAAATGTCTCAGTCTATTAATTAAATTATGGGTTAAAACTTTAGCTAAAGATCTAAAAACAAAATATAACGTTAATGATGAAAAATTTTCAAACCTGTTGTAAAAGTAGTATATAAGGGACAACCGATTCTTGATGAATGCTTTGAAATATAGCGAAAATACGTTCCATTTCGCTTGCTTGAGGTCCTGTGAATTGTTCATTGAACTTTTTTTTTTTTTTAAAAAAAAAAAAAGGTTAATTAAAAGAATTTATTTTAAATTACATGCACTTATTAAATATAACGAACCTTTAATGCATTAGATACTTTTTTCCTTCCCTTTCGGGTATGTTTGCGTTTTTCATATTCTCTTGAGAAAAGACGTTTATCAAGACTTTGTGGAATATAAGATGCAAGAAATGCAGCAATTAACAAATATAATGACCATGTAGGTATTTGATTTTCTAGAAAATTCAATAATAATAATTATAAAGTTAATGTTGTTTATATAATTCTATCATAAATTGAATTTATATTAATACCTATTAACGGTGTTATGTTTTGTGAATATAAATTATCCAATGCAGATTCTAAATGCGGTTTTAATTCGTCGAATAAGAGTGAATAATCATTCATTGATACTATATAGAACCAATTAAAAAATGTTAATAATGGATAGTAGTCAAAAGATGAAATCTATTATCACTATCATTTACCTCCTCCCTCATTTATTGGCTGAATAAATTTTTGATAAATATTTGGTATGATGCGGAACAAATCAATAAGATCACAAGAATCCGAAAAAACCTCATATATATAATTGATAAATGTACTATAAAGTTCATGATCATCATCATTCGAACAAGTTTTTTCAAGAATTTGAATGACATCGCGTAATAAATCATTAAGGATTTGAAAAGAAATTATGATAAATTGTAAGCAAATGAATCAAAATAAAGGATATTTTTTGAATACTCTGGAAAATATAATTGAAAAGGTTCAATTATTCCCACATATCTTCGAAATTTCTCCCACGGAACTTGTGTGATAAAGATTATACAAAGATTTGCGCCGGTCTTAATAAAGAGAATTTAAAATCATAAGAATATAAAATAAGTTTTATGTCAATTCATCGTGTATTACTTACCCAATGCGGGAGATTTAAGAGAATAGACACCAAAGTTTGAGAAAGATTCCATAACAATTCTGCATTATCAAATATCTAAATTGAAGGAAGGATTAATTAAGATGTAAAAAAAAGAAATTGAATAGAATTATATTTTCCTACCAGGTATCTAGTTTCCTCAACAGTTTCGCATATATCTTGTAATATTGTAGCATATTCATCAAAATTTTTGCATTTATGTTTTTTACCAGATAAATGTTTTAATGAAACTTCAAATATATCATCGAGTTGAAAGTATAATTTACAATTGAGGAAAGAATAGTGACGCGTGGGAAACCCTCTCTTGAATAGATTCTTTACAATTTCAGTTTTACCCAATGCTCTATTTCCATGTATAAAAATTGAAGGTGGTGTTTTTTCTGTAGGCTATATTCAATAAATATTTAAATATATTATAAAATAGTAAATTTATCGTTGTTAGAAATATGTCTATTTACCTCTCCTAACAAATTTATTAAGGTTACAATTTGACGCGTTCTTCCTGGAAATTCAATAACTAATTCGTTCCTCAATTTTTGAATTTCGTTTGACATTTGAGATTATCCACAACTGATAGCAGATAAAACTATTACCTCTGTTAATAATTTGATTTTCTATCACGATGAAATAACTACATAATTTACATAACTTTTTTTAGAAAATTTGCACGCAAAATCTTAACGTAGATGATCTTTTGATCTTCAGCGGTCTCAAATGTCACAAATTAAAAATCAGAATTTTCGTTATACTGAATGATTATAGCATTGTATTATTTGTATATCGATATGATATTGAAAAAATAATTTAAATATTTTTTTTTATTAATCGTGCTTATTTTTGTTTTGCTAATTTTATTTTATTTTATTACGATAAAACAAATATTCTATTAAGTTCTTACGAATTATATTGATGCTATTGAATTTTAAAACAAAGATGAGATAAGTATCTATTAGGATAGTTTCATCCTTCTATATGTATACTCTTGCATTCAACGCCAGGCTCAATACCAGTTTAGTAATCATTGTGAGGATTTGATTCATGTATTATTCTCATTTCTATGCAACAAGTGCCCCATTACACAATAAATTTTCCCTTTAAACGCAATTCCAATTTCAAAGATTTCGTTTTATAAAGTTTCTTATACTGGTTCTCTTCAATTTGATCTAACGCTTTCTGAGCTTTCCTTATCATCAACAACCTTAAACTCAATGACAATGGCCATATCAATTACGGCATCTGATTTATGAACTATCCTTATAACAAATCTTCCTTTACCGGCCTCATGATTAGAATCAACGTTATAGCCTCGATCACGAGCAACAACGAACATTCCCAAGCAAAAGGCATGATAAACGTATTCTGCTTGTTTTTTCCGGATTTAGACCTTTGAAATAAATTCAAGTTTCCAAGCAGAAGATGCTCTAACATTGATACGACCGTTGTCCAGAATTGAAAAATGGCAAATTTAACACCCTGTCAATACGAACTTCAAAATTTGGTATAATACGGTGTTTCTCCGTATTTATAATGAGGTATCCTGCATAGTACAAGAGCGCCCAGATAGCAGAATCATGATATTGATCCAAATAAGATAGTAATAACAGTTATAAACTTCATCCTAGTCCAATAAGCATTTTGAAAACGTGGATTATATACATAGCCGTCATACCATTTTCGGACATCCTCACCATTCAAGTCTTCACGCACTGATAAAGATTTTATGATTTCATAAGTCAAAGAGAAAATCATGTCTACTATAGATTTAGCTACCAATGCTCATCATGCCATTCCACGTTTCAGAACTTAAAATCCTTTTTCATGATAAATTAATTGCCTATGGTAAAAGTCATAAATCGTAACAGATGAATTTAATATCAATACGAAACCATATGAATAACAGGATAGTTAGCAAAATATACTCAAAGCTACCTTTTTCCGACAACAAAAGATGCATCAAACATATATTGTCTATATAAAAAAAGTTAGGATTAGGCTTGAAATCACCAGTAACAAAAAAAAAACCATTGATATCAATATTTAAATTTGCCTTTATTATTTATATATAGACTTGAACTTAATTTTACATATGTAATTTTGCTATAAATATGGAATTTTACTAGATCAATAAAATGCTGTAATTTACGCGATCACGGGTTCGAATTACGAGTAAGATAGTTAAACCAATCAAAAAAGTTTATTTAATTGACATCACATGCTCAATTTG